ATATATACGCACCATGCATACATATATTAAACACACAAAAAACACACACCTGTGTTGACAGTTCTCTATGTAACACTGATAAAAGGCAATGTTATACATTACAGGCACCATAAAAACATCACAACCATTACATTTATGTAATTGCACAATTCCTGTTTGATGTGGACAGGTTTTATGTTATTCAAGGAACATTAACCGGTTAGCTTGGCCTCATGTCCTTGAAACCTGGACTTTTTTTTTTCCTCTGCAAAATAAAGGAGGAAGGCTATGAGGGGGAGGTGCAGCAATCCCAGCATCACCCTTTGCATTGCAGTTTCTATAAGCACAAGATGGAGATGTGATATGAGAGAAAAAAAAGACCCCCTGACAAAGTAAAAGCAGCAGGGTGAAAAAGATAAATGTGCAGCTTGGCCATCTTGTCATTATTGCCCAGTTCTCAGGGTGATAGAATCAAGAAACTGCCCTCAGAATACCCTTAGATACACCCGAGTTACACGTCCCCATTATTCATCTGTTGGTGAATTACACACGCTGCAAGTAATTATATGGTGTGTAGAGCCACATATCATCAAGCATGAAAGGAGAGGAATTAGCAGACAGACCTGGAATTGTCTCCACAGCCTTGGTGCAGATGAGAACAGCCAATGCTCTAGTTCCCGTGACAGATGCAGCTACCCCCACTGCTGCTAATATCCTGGGGGCACTGCAAACAGGTTAGATTTTAGAACCCCATCATTCAGCAGAATCAAAAGATGGGAAATAAAGGAGGTGACAACACATACCTTCTCAATGCCAATCCTATTCCAGGTGTTTCTTTTCTAAAATTGGCTGCCTGCTTGGTGTGTGATGATGAAAAAAAAAAAAAGGAAGAAGGCAGAGGAAAACGTCAGACAGATGGAGCAGCTGGGATGAAGCTTTTTATAAATGCAACTCTGCCAAATCCTCACCCTCCCTTACCTGGGGTTCAGAGGTGAATGGCTCTCGGTTCTTTCTCTTTGTGACAATACGTGGAGGAGGGATCGGATGTGGCTGTCTTGGGGGGGTCCCTCAGCAGGCAGTGTCAGTGCTACAGAGCCATGGGATGTTCTGTATCAACTGTACTGCCTTCTCTCGCCTCTGAGATGAGAGTGCTTAATGCTTGTGTGAGTGATGTCTACCCCCTTGTGGCAGGAGATCTTATGAACAACCAAGAGCAGCAATTGCAGACTGGAAGTCCTCCACTTCCCACTCCCCTCCTTTCTGCTGATAAAATATAGGAGATTCTAAGCTTTGCTTACCATCCTCCTAACACACCCATTACGCTGCATGTGTAAAATGAAGATCCCTCCCTCTACTCTCCTTCTGACCCTTTCTCCTTCATGCAAGGATGCTCCGTGACCTTCTTCATCTCATGAGATGTGATGAAGTCAGAAACACATCAACCACTATCACGAACCCATGGCCAAGCCATTATATTCGCAGAGGAGCGCGTTCCCATCAATTTCCTAAGAGTGGGATTTTGACTTGCTTATACACAATATATTATTTGTAAATGACTTAGGATGGAGTAGCTTTAATAATTGCATCTTTTGTACTAAACGGTGTATATACATTTGCATCAGACAGTGTCTAGTGAACTGTGCTGAAAAGCTGAGATGACAGGAAGCCAATGTGTTCCAATTAAAGAGTCATTTTTATTGAATATTTGTTAAGAAAAGAAGTGTGTAGGAAAATGTGATTAGATAATGAATGAAAATAGAATATGCAGCCCTATACAATATTGCTATTCTACATCCCAGTGCTTTCCACATAGGTGACCGGGTACATTAATCATTATAATAAAGCATTTTCATTTTTTTTTTTAAACGGCTGTGAATGCTTCCATAATACATTTGCATCATGCTATATAAAGTATATGGCTACTCTCCATATTTTTATGGTCATATTATAGATATGAGCATTGCTATTGCTATAATGACCAGTATGCTGCCTTTGTTCCGGATTTAGACCTTTCTTTGTCCCTCTTTTTTCATTATCAGTATTGATTAATTACTCATAAGCATGTCCTTTTAAATGGGATTCTCGGCACACATTCATGCTCTGGCCAGGATACAGAGATGGATATCAGGAAGCCTCCTACTGAGACCTACGTGAACTGGAATTGAATTAAGCATGTTAATAAAACTTCATCAAGTAAAAGTATGTCTAAACCATAACTGGATAATATTTAGTTTGTATATTAAACAATTAAACACATTTTAAAATGAAATACTGTTTTCCCCTTTTTTCATTATTTGCTGCCTTTCAGTGCTGCTATGCTAATGCCTCTTTGCAGTCACCATGTAATCCAGAGATGTCAAGCATGTAATCCAGAGATGGTTGCATGGCATTTCTCAGAGTTGGTTTCCTGATGGTAACAAGAATGGACCATGCCTGCATATTGGATATTAAAAAGGCTACTTGTAGTCTCCAACAAAAGAACGTGTGGCAGAGTGACAATGCAGGAGCATGGCTGGGAGGCAGGGACAGAACGCTGTCTTCCCAGGAAATGCCTGGATATGGACCTTCATGGCAGAATCACCAGGTATTGTAGTGAAAGTGGCAAAATTGATAATATAAAAAAAATACTTTTGAAATTCCATTACCATGTAATGATATTTTAGTGAAGATGTCTAAGGCCCCTTTCACATGGGATGATCAGGAGAAGATCCCCCTAGGGATCCTCTGCTGATCACTGCAGTGCTGAGCGGATGTCACTGCTGTGACATCTGTGTCCATACAGTTTTTGAAAAAACTTCAATTACCGGACCAATGTCTGTCTATGGGGAATCGAATGTAAATGAACATGTGTCCATTTACACCAGATTACCCCCCATCCAGCACAATCAGGTCCAGACCTCTGATGCATTTGTTTTTCCGGACCTGGCCAGAGTAAGGTGTAACAGGGTGTAAACGGACACCCATTTGTTTACACACGGCTGCCCGTAGATTTACATTGGGCAATGATCGGGTCCGCCAGAAAAACTGACAGACCCGATCGGACCGTCCATGTGAAAGGGGCTTAACACCATAAATCACTGAATAACTTAATGTGCCTCCTTACACAAGTAGCATAAAAGCTCTATAAAATGGAATTTCTGAGGTACTATAGTCTCTCCATATAAATAAACATATGATATCAAAATACGTTTGTTTTTTTGTTTAATAATCTGTAATAAGTAACCTCATTATGCATTATGCAATATAGGTTTGCTACCGGTAAGTAGAATAATGACACTCATCATAGCATCTGCATTTTAGCTAACTGGTCAATACATGCAAACACGAGGGTAAATAACCCTAATAACTCAGCACGAATAAATGATTAACCAAAGCACTCCCTGCTGACTTAATCAATAAACATGCATGCTGGCTTTCACAATAAACCAAATATAGCTCCTTATCGAAAATATATACTATAAATACTGAATCTTCATATATTATAAACAATCATTATTTGAGTGAGCCCAGTGACACTGCAGTCCTGGCAATATTTTGGTCTGACACAAATAGTTTTTGTCAGTGTGAACAACTGAACATTGATAGTAAAGGCAGAATAATAAGCCAATAAATGAAAACAAATAATACTTGTAGGTTTTTGAATGTTGGAATGGGTTCATGTTAGAAATTGGTTACATTTTCATTCAGTCTGTGCAACATACCTAAACAATGTCCCATATTTAGCTTTACAGGTAACCTCTAAGGTCAGAAATATGGAAGCTACCATTGCCGATTTGTTTTTTAAAGTGCATGGTTAACGACTATTATCCTGTTCCTTTTTGCACTACTTGGTAAGTCATTACCTGAAAGAAGCATATCAAGTGTGCCGATACATTCATGTTCTGTTGGAATTGCACATGTTAGTTCTAGGTCTTTGACTCCTTATGTAGCACAGAAAGGATAAATATTACAGACCAGAAGTACAAGATTCAAGAAAAAAGTCAACAATGACAGCCCCCATATCTCAGTCCTCACAACATGTCATGATAGAATTAGGAGAGATTCCATTGTTAACCTTCTTCGGAAAATGCTAGCTCCCTGGCTTTCTCTAGCCTCAATACTTTCTGGGTCACTGACCCTAAAAAAGCACGCAGCTAATGAAATTTAAAAAACTCTGACCTTCACACTTGCTTCACTTAAGTGATTCAGTAAATCATTTGGATCAATATAACAGCCAGAAGAGTGTCACGTACGAAGTGAGGGATCAGTAATGGCAATCTACGCTGCCTGGTGCCCTACCACTCTCTATCTGAGGCCTGACATAAAGTGGGCTGGGCCTGCCACCTGTAGACCACCAGAGGGCATCAGAGTGGCAGCTGGGTGTCGGGCACTGAAACAGTCTCTGTGTCCCAGCACCTGGCACTGAAACTAAGATTGTACTGTCAGGTGAAGTGATCTCTGATCGCTCTGAAATGGAAGCAAATAAACAGGAAAGTAAGTCCCTGCTGGGAGGGGGGCTAAATTTCACTGCCACTGACCATCACTGGGGGAAAATTAACTAGTACGCCACTGACCACCAATGGGGGGGGTTAATAGCACTGCAACTGAGCTCCAGGCAATGGGACGTGTCACGTACCTTAGGGGAGCTTGAAGTGACTAGGGCAGCCTCTCTTGCAACTTCAGTCCCAACGCCCCTGAATAGAGGAACAGGTGTATCAGGGCTCTAGACAGAAAATGCTGGTCTCTGAGGTGAACTTCAGGTAGAAAGAAAACGCAGGAGGAACACACCAGTGGAAGCAGCATAAGATGAGCCGTACTTGGATGCAAGCCGGGTAGACAATGTGACGTCAGAGGTACCAAATCAGCAGGCAGGATCGAAGTCAGGATACAGGCCGAGGTCAGGAAGATGCAGACAGATGCAGCACCAGGCAGAAGGCAGAAACAATGTCAAAGGACAAGCCAGGGTTGGAGGATATCAGAGCAGCAGAAGAGTAGTCAAAACAAGCTGGGTCAGTATCAGGAACGCATTGTGGATGACCAAGATGACCAAGGATCTACAGCTGAGAGAATGACAATATATTTATGCTGTATGTATGATATATACAGTGACTCTTATAAACATTCGCAATTATTGAATTGAATTAAAGAATATAACTTCCTACCCTGTAAATAATTGTATTCATTACTAATTTGTTTCTCTAGCCAAAATGCATGCATGTCATCAATGTTTGTGCGAAGATATTCATAATTAAAGCTTTATTTTGGGTGCATCATTATTCTTAGACAGATATAGCTCCATTACGGAATCCTTTTTGTGATTGACAGCTGGACCTCTACACTTTGTGGACTACTTTAAATTGAAAATTCAGTACAATATATCAAACTGAGTAAGGCCATTCAATATTCAAAACAATGAAGTCAAGCTATCCACAGCAGAAGAATATAGAATTTAATGATCATTTACATACTGCCTTATTATTAAAGGAAATAAATAATTATTTGATTTAACTGTCATTACTAGAAAAGCAAATAATGATTTCATTGACATTTTGCAGCAAAATGACCAATTTTCATATTTGATGAAAAAACTACAATTTCTTTTCCTTTTTAGATTTGTGTTTTTGAGGTCTATTTATGGTGGTTTTGTTTATTTAATTTATTTACAAAACAGTGAAGGTGACATTCATCAAATATTTACTGCAGATGAATCTTCCCACTTCATTTGTTTTAAAATACAAGGAATGATTAACCAACTGTAAATGGTTTAGTGTTACGCTCACTGCTTTAAAAATATGCCTCATAGGGATGTGTAACTTGTAATTGTTTATTTTTTCCTGTTTTTAAAAATAGGCTAAAAAGGAGCCATTAAAGCTTACATCCAGGCAGATATAAAAGACTGGTATAGATATAAAAAAATTAGGTGATGTCAACAAGGAACCTAACCTTGTGAGAAAGAGTTAAAAGTGAAATATCACTGAAATGTTGCCCTGCTCAAAGGGCAGTTTTTTGAAGAGGCAAAAGAAGTAGAGTTAAATACCATGGAGAGACACCCTGTACAAAAGCCTTAATTAATGGGAGGCCAGCAGTCTTTGGAATAAGATGGCAAGCTCTGAGATAAGACTTTTAATAGTACTAAGGGTCAACTATCGATCCAAGCCTAAATGCAAAAAAAAGTAAGGCTTTATTCCACAGTGTTTTCAATTCATCTAAAAAAGCTCATGGAGCATCTGTGCCACATACTCGGTAGAGGTCAATTTAACAAGAGCAATACCCCCTGTATTTGGAGACTGGGTGT